GCTGTGAGGAAGACCCCCAGGCTGTCAGGGAGACCCCTTGGCTATGAGGAGACCCCTTGGCTATGAGGAGACCCCCATGCTGTGAGGGAGACCCCCAGGCTGTGAGGAAGACCCCTTGGCTATGAGGGAGACCCTCAGGCTGTGAGGGAGACCCCCAGGCTGTGAGGAAAACCCCCTGGCTATGAGGGAGACCCTCAGGCTGTGAGGGAGACCCCCCAGGCTGTGAGGAAAACCCCTTGGCTATGAGGGAGACCCCCTGGCTGTGAGGGAGACCCCCAGGCTGTCAGGAAGATCCCCAGGCTGTCAGGGAGACCCTCAGGCTGTAAGGGAGACCCCCAGGCTGTAAGGGAGACCCCCAGGCTGTGAGGGAGACCCCCAGGCTATGAGGGAGACCCCCAGGCTGTGAGGGAGACCCCAAGGCTGTCAGGGAGACCCCCAGGCTGTAAGGGAGAGCCCTTGACTATGAGGAAGACCCCCAGGCTGGGAGGGAGACCCCAGGCTGTGAAGGAGACCCCCAGGCTGTAAGGGAGACCCCCAGGCTATGAGGGAGACCCCCAAGGCTGTGAAGGAGACCCCAAGCCCTGAGGAATACCCCAAGCCCTGAGGAATTCCCAAATGCTTAAGAAGGATCCCAAGGCCGTGAGAAACTCAAGTCGCGTGGAGCATCTGCAGGTAGTTGCTCTGTTCAACATGCCCACTCATCTTCCAGCTTACAGCCATCAACTGCCAAACTTGAGAACATGCTTGTTAAAGATTCTGTCCCTTGTTGGGCACAGTGGTGCACACCTGTAATCCTAGCATCTCAGGAGGCTGAGGCAGGACGATCTCAAGTACAAGGCCAGCCTCAGCAACTTAGCAAGGCCCTAAACAACTTACCAAGACCCTGTCTCAAAATAAGAAATAAAAAGGGCTAGGGATGTGGCTTAGTGGTTAAATTTAATCTCCTTGCTACTGGGTGGCCACTATTCCCAAGCATATCCTCCTTTAGAGTAACTTCTAGTGAACAGAGACAGAAAATATTTCTCATAAAAAATTCTTTAAAATTAGTTAACACTGATATCTCCAATTCAAACTTGGGATTACAGGGTATTTATTTTCTTGCTTCAACTTCATATCTGTATGTCTTTTCTCCCACCCTTGAACTCTTATTTCCTAATGACAGCAACATAATGATTTATCGTATGGATATATAGTTTCAAACTAAAACAAACATTATTACTAAAAATATAAGTACTAAAAAACTGCCTAGGTTCTTTTTGTTCTGATTTTTAAAGAACCATACATACATAGGGCTGGAGTTGTGGCTCAGAGGTAGAGTGCTCACCTAGCATATGCAAGACCCTGGGTTCGATTCTCAGCACCACGTAAAAATAAATAAAAGTATTGTGTCCAAGTACAACTAAAAATAAATAAATAAATATTTAACAAAAAGAACCATACATAAATATCATATGGCTTTGATAGAGCTCAGGACATGCTATGCTATCCTAAATGTGGCACCCCGGCATATTGACTTTTTTAAGCTGAGCAATTTGAGAAAATGCACGTAAGGGAGTCTACTGACTGTCCTCCCCACGTCTCCCTAGGGCAGTGAGTGGTGCCCTGCCTACACTGGAGGAAGAGCACAGCCTTATCCCCACAGCAGGGACACAGAGAGGAACCTGGGCACACTGGCCCTGCTCAGTTTCCCCAGTGGATCACAATTTAGTCCCTTGGTCCTCTCGTGTTTCTCCACA